TTCTTGCTTTCTTACTTCTTTAGCTTACAATCACATTCACTCAACTTAGCCGTGCTAGATAATAGACAATCACGAAGTAGGCATTAGATCTAGACCCCGAGTTGATAAAGTAAACTTACCACTATTTTTCATTTCCATTCTGCGATTACACTTGGTCGCAGTTTGGTGTTGTGTTTTAGTGTGTCATGCCCCCTCTTAGTGCATAGGAAAATAGCCCTAATACCCTATATTAGGGTGCCGCTTTGAAATGTTGTTCTAATTCAAATAGGTCTCGAACCTTATGGAGATGGCCAAATGTATTCTCATGAGTGAAACCAAAGGAAGGTTTCATGTAGTGGAACTCGTGAATGACAGTTGCTTCTATTCCATAGTTAGTAGTACGGTTGGCCACCTCGGATGCATTAAGGAGTGCTTTGGGTACGTCAAACTTGCAAGTAGCCCAACTAATAATGATTCTAGGCGTGTATGCTTAATCAAATTCCCTGTAGGTGTGGATCAATATGGGATGTGGACAGTGGCAAGGCCATCGAGATGCGATCACTGCTAAAAACAACCAACTCCTAGAAAAGTATGCCCAAGCACCAAAAGTAGAAGAAAATCAGTGCCTGGGCCGCTAGTTTTTATTCACGACGTAAAGTAAATAAACTGACTCGACACAACTTAAATAATAAAACTAGACTTGACACGAAAAGAAAAATTAGCATAATGAGAAAGAGAGAATAGAACTCGTACCTGGTCCCTTTTCCAAAATTTGCGAGATGTTCCCAGTAGGGGCACTAAAATTTAATGTCATATGTACCGTACAGACCAAATTTACCAGGCCCGAAGGCAGTATCGTATTTCCCTAAGGTCTCTCGTAGAACCCTTACTTTGGTGATGAGGTACGGTTGTATTTTAGTTAAAACGATGTAGCAAGTTGAGGTGCCTCCGGGGTTTGCAAAGCAAAAGTAAAATCTTAACTACGAGTGCATAAAAGTAAATCTATAGCTATTTATATGGACGAGAGAGCAGAGAAGGAAGGCGTTGCATAGGAAATCTCCCCCTAGGTCTCCTAGTCATATATCTCTCGATATTTGACAACCTACAAGCTGTCGATTTCATATTTCATTAGATCCCACCTTGTGTCAAAGCATTTACCGGAACTAATGGGCGGCAAGGAACCTAAGGATTACTCCCTTAAGGCATCACGCTATTCGACTGAATGAGTATTGATCGAGTAGGACTATTATTTCTTGTCTTAATTCTACACGACAAGAATTTCGATCCTTGCCCCTCGAAGGAGTGCAAGTTCTACTAAGCAATCATTCAATCAACAAATAATGAAATAGAGGAAATCAAGAATCCACATATATGAAATAAAATAATCGTATTAAAGCCAAACATTGACTTTTACATGCTTAGAACCCCTAGGATTCACATACCTACGCAACTAGAGGAACTAGCCACCAATGGAAAAGGGTTTCTGGGTGATCATTATTTGAATTGGAGTCCCCAGAACACAACTGGAATCGACACCCACAACGGAGAAAACAGTGCCAGTGCTGCTATTTCTGGAACCAATTCCATCTATGAGGTTGGTTTCACTCTAAGTTTGGTAAGTCGCTCTGTATGCAAAGTAACGACCCTTCCTTGGCATCTCGTCTCCCCCTCCCGAGTTCTAAATCTATAACTCTATTTATAGGTCTTCGATTAGGGTTTCTGGGAAGGAAAACTTGTAGCTCCTGCGTCATTCAGCCAATCAGAAGCCTCAAAACACGTGACCAACAACTGGTCCTCTAGTATGCTTCATCTGAGAATGCACAAAGCGCTACCAAAAGCGCTTCAATCCTGCAAAAGCAATCCTAGCATTGCTAAACCTCACTTGAAGCATCCATAGCATAAATTCAAGAAATTATGATGATAATTATATGAATTGGATGTACTTTGGATCATAATACGGGGGTCTATAATACTCAATTCTTTGTGTCATCACAAGACACAAGATATGAATTGATATCACAAGGATCAAGCAACACGTATGTTGCCGGAATCAACGTTATGAGTTGAAAAAGCTCTAGTGGGAGTTTGCCTATGCAATGCCTCATCTTCTTGCTTCTTGCACTTGCTAGTAGTTATAGGTTTAATTTTTCGCTTGGTTTTTCCTTTTGATTTTGTAAAACCAAGGGAAACTTCAACTCCGAAGGCACCTTTATTTTAAAAACACCAAATCAATCGTCCCTCACCACCTGAGTATGTGGTTGTGAGAGACCCTAGGGAAATAAAATCCTTGTCTTCGGGCCAAGTAAATTTGTCATCTACTACAATCATGATCGATGCATGACCTTGACAACATCAAGGGATTCTTCCCAGCAATATAGAGAATAATCCAAAAAATGAGGAGGTCAAAGCTATTTCTACAATCATAGGGGCATTCCAAAAGTTTCCTAGGCAAAGTAGAAAGAGATTATGAGCAAATTCCCAGAAGGATGGCCACCTCTTAAGAAGAAACTATCCCCCTCTCTTTCAAGAAGTGATAGAAGCTATGGAGATCAATAGATGTGATAGAAACTATCTCCAACTCTAAGAGGACATGGGACTAGCTAATATAAAGGACATCAATATGGAGATCAAGCTCGCAAACAACACTCCCTATCAAGCTCTAGGGACCGTGAGAGGTTTAAGTACCCAAATCATGCCTTTTATCTTCTTTCACCACTATACGGTGATCAACATGAAGATATATGATGTATACTCAATGCTCTTTGGAAAGCCATTTCTTGCAACTGTTAGAACTAAGATTGATGCAGCAAGGTCATTTCTGTCATTATAAGTTTAAAAGATCATGCGTCAAGTTGGGAGACCTAAGCCACTTGAATCTCTTCATCAAGAGATCATTGATGATGATCTTCAAGACTGATTCGAGCTAAATTGCATATATATATGGGAAGTTCTACGGTACCCAGGGTGAAATCCGGGGTATCGCATACCTTGAGTAAGAAAATGCTATCTAGAACTTGAATTGACTGATCTTTCGGACATGATACTATACTCTAACCCTTAAAGATCAAAATCTAGGTCTTAATTCTCTACATATTTTACCTCAAGATCAATTTAATTAGAAATAATAATCGACGGTTATGATTCTTCCAAATTTAGGCAAAAAAAAAATCAATGCACCATCTTAGCGTTTATAGTTTATGATTTAGATAATTAGGACCTAGGGTTCACTCATTAATGGTTAGAGTATAGTATCATGCCCAATAATCCTTCTAATTCGAGGTCTAGATAGTGTTTTCATACTCAAGGTATACGGTACCCTGAATTTGACCCGGGGTACCGTAGAACGCACCATATATATATATATATATATATGTATATGGTGACTTCTACGGTGCCCAGGGAAAAATCCGGGTACGGGTACCTTGGCCGATCTTAACCATTCATTTTCAATCTCCACAGCTCATGTTTGTTAAACCTAACTGCGCCACTAAATAACTTAACAAATTACAAAAAGCCTCCTGCCGTGTTAGTTTGTTTTCATCCCAGTCCAACTAACTGCCCCGATTAAATTAATTAACCCAATTGGGTAGACCCACTGCCGCCCTAACCAATTTCCAGTCTCCCTAACCAATTACACGATCCCTCTCTCGTCTTGGAGGGACGCCCTTTCAAAGTTCCAAGAGAAGCTCCCCATCCAATTTGAACTCCCCAACTTAATCATCTTTTTGAATCCTAATTACTTGCATCCACATTCGACGTAGATTGAATTTCCCAATTTATTTTGTCTTGTTTGTTCTTCACCATTTTATTTCCCCTCGCTTATCTCTTTCTAACAAGATTACGGCGACCATGTCTATTATTGTGTTCATCAAACTTTTCATCTGCAAAAGAACCCTTGAAAGAGGTTTGCTAACCCTAGGGTTCATGTCGCCAGTGCTTTGTCATCTTGTCTTAGCGTTATTGTCATTTTCTCAAAACTTCTATCACTCGGTGAAATTAAGGTTTCCTGATATGTAGTGTTCGTCTCGCCCAGAGGATTGAGGAAGGAGATGAAGAAGACAAAATTTGATTCGAATCGGATGAAGAGGTCTCCTTAATTTGTGTTTATGTATTAACGGTGCGTTTAGGACTAATTCTAGTTGGACTGGGTCTGATCATTGATTTTTGAAGGCTTTTAAATAACATTCAAACGTGGGCTTATACATGATCCATGCAATATTCAAAAGTGGGCCTGGAACGTCCAAGCCCATTTCATTTCTCCTGCCGTATCAATTCGTGCGCCAACCCTAGTTTAACTAGCTTTACTTACCCTAGTTTAACCTACACGAGTTACCATCATCATTACATATCTTCCGAAATCTTCTAACTCATGACATTCCAGACTCAACCGTCTCCATCACACTCACGTCTCCAGACTCAACCCCCACGATCACTTTTTCTTACACCTACATTCTCTCTTTCCTCCATCTTCACCTTCCCTTGTTCCTTCTTCCTCCAGACTCCATGGCAAACAAAGATAGATCTTTTGTGGAAATGGGGATACTATCTCTATCAAATGAAGACTGCCAATCCACCGCCAGTCTCGGTGACTATCTTTCATTTACAAGCAAAACAGCAATTGTGGCCGAGTACGAGTTCATCCACCTAAGTCATTTCCCTCCAGAAGTGAAGACGTTAATAAAAAATCTTGGCTGGGAAAAGTTCTTTGATCTCTGGAGTCGAGGAAGCACCAGTTACTGCCCCCATGTGGTGAGGAATTTCTACCACAATTTACAAATTTCTGGTCCCTGTGATTCTCATCCCGTGTCGATCTTCCTGGGACATAGAGTCTGCTTCCAGCCTCATCAGTTTTTGAGTTTGAAGTTTGAAGTTGAAATCGTATAGCCGGAGGACACCCCATTGAGAGCAGAAGCGATCTTGGGCGGCTGTACGATTTTGAGTTTGAAGTTGAAATGGCGAAACTCATGAAGGGGCGCATCCAGGCTTCTTTCCTCTCAGATCCTCTTTGATTCCTCCACTGGATGATCGTCAACTGCTTCCTGCCAAGGTACCGTGGTCATTCGATTATTCGTAAACTTGACTTGTTTATCCTTGTGCAAGCTCAAAGAGGTGTTCCTGTTAACCTTGCATCTCTCATGTGCCTGAACATGGTTGAGGCTGCTCCTAGAGGGGAAAACTGGTACACTGCCTTTCCATATGCCACCTTCGTGACCACCTTTCCCGAAAGGGTTGGGATGGATATGGGGGTTTATGTTAAGGAGGGCCAGTGCGTTTATTTGCCGGTGTACCATATAGCCGAATTGACCAATACTTTTATTGACCTTCGCCATACAGAGCATCAAGAGACCCCTGAGGCCTCCTCAAGCAAACGTCCTCGACTTACATGAGATTCGATTGATGCAGGGCGGGGTGGAGCATTGGAGCAGCAAAGGGGCCAGCAATGGATGTCTTCTGTTAACAAGTTTCCTAAGTCTTTGTTGGATTTTTTTTCCAGTCTTTTGTCTTTTCCTTAATTCTCCAGCACTCAAAACTGTCAGGTACTGAGGGGAGGCAGTACATCATCTGACTAGGAAAGTCTCCCATTTTTTGAATTGTCCAGACCAATATTTTTCTATGCATGTAGTATTTTTTTTAATTTGCCATGGCTAAGTTCCCTAAGATAGGTGACGAGATGCATTAATGGTCATCTCCAATGGTGCAATTTTTGTGACTTGCAAGATGATGTGGCAAGGAGGTGCAATTGCATCTCTAAATTGCTATGATGTGAGAAGCTATTGCAAGGGTGCAAATTTGCTTGCAATTGAAATGGGCCCACGAGTGGGGACTATTGATGAAATTGCAATTGACTTTCATTGTTGTTGAGAAGTGGTGTTTTCTCAAAATTATAGAAGTGGAAGTAGGGACTACCAATGAAATTGCAAATGAATTTCATTGGGGAAGATTTTAATCCGCTTTTATTCTAAGTAGTTCCAATTAGGTCGAAGAATGTGTTACTTATATCATCTTCATTTTTAATGGTTTTCCAAAATTATGGTATTATTTATATTTGGTCACAAGTATAGTGACGATGATAGGCGTGAATAGTATGGATATGGCTTGATTATAATGATTTTTTATCTATGGTGATTTTTCCCCCTTTTTCATCAAGACTCATGCTTCTTTTATTCCCCCCTGTGAATCTATAATGCTTCGTTTATAGTAAAATACCCTTTTAATTATACATCATAAAGAATCCATTAATTATGTAAGCCTTTTTATTGTATTTATTAATACAATGAATTCTCTCACTAAAAGGGGAGTGCATACATCGTTGGTGGAAATTCAAGGAATGGAATCTATAATGCTTCGTTTATAGTAAAATACCCTTTTAATTATACACAATAAAGAATCCATTAATTATGTAAGCCTTTTTATTGTATTTATTAATACAATGAATTCTCTCACTAAAAGGGGAGTGCATACATCCTAGGAACATTAAATTAATTACCTAAGAATTTTCTATCTGCCTTGTACGGGGTTTGGTCATAAATTATGCTGATTGGGAGCCAATCAGTTTTACCTTTGGGTTAACTATATATGAATGAAAATTTAATTAGACGACGGCAATTGGGAACGAAGTGGAATGATATGATCTCAATTACACCTCTCTACAAGATACAATGGCTTGAACAGAAGCAACCTCACTCACAAGTTGGAAGCTGGAATTTTGGTCAAGTCCCTTTGCCATTTCCACGAAAAAACAAACCAAACCAAACCAAACCAAAAACCAAATATAGAAAGCATTCACCAAACCAAACCAAACCAAAAACCAAATATAGAAAGCATTCACCAAACCAAACCAAAAATAGTTGTCCATCATCTTGAAAAAAAAAAACATAACATGGTTGTCCATCATCTTAAAAAAAACGCAAAATCAGGTTGTCCTTGGGCTCTTTGACTGGGTTTCCTTGTTCTCTTCTCTTTCCTTTTTCCTTCTTTCATGGGCTTTCTTGTACTCTTCGACTGCAGCTTCAACTTGAGGTGCAACTGTTCTTGCTTCCGTGAGCACCATATGCCTTATGTAGTTCATGGGCTCTCGAACAAGGTACAAAGCGATCTGCATCATCCTCACTTGAGTGCATGGCTATCAACATCAACAAACATGGTGCTTAACGCATGATTCAAAAATAACAATCAAGTGTGGTTTTCTAATATGCGAACTAAAATTGTCTTTACCCAAATATAAGAGGAGTCCCAGCTTGCGCCATACATCCACATGCAGACCCAAACTCCACTGTCAGACCTACATAAAATGAAAGCATTGTGTGATAAGAACCAAGTTGATAAGCCGTCGTTTAATATCACACAAAAATGGGCATACTTACCGATGAAGTTGTTCTTGATCCTTTGAAGGATTGTGTACGAAAACTCCGCAATCCTTGGTGGCGACAATCCCGGACCTTGTTCACGATAGAGAATCTTCCAAAAGGCTTGCATAAATCTCATCTGTACAAATTAAGAAACGTTTGTACTTAGAAAGAGGTATTTACATTTTTTTTGCGTTATAACGGCACAATGTCACAAATTTACCATTGTTTGAACATATTGTAGTCGAAAGGAATTGCGGTCTTCATTTGGTTGTGGATCCAAGATATGGACTTCTTCCTTGTCCAACTTAATGACAGCCAAGTACCAATGGGCATTATCTCTCATCGGAACACACACCTACATATGCGGAAATTGTCAACACTTATTAAAAAAATAAACTGCAAACCATGTAATACTTATTAAGACGAACAGTTTACCTTGTTCACCATATTGGTTCGACTAAGGAATTTTGATTCGTATAGGTCTAATGCCCTCTTGGGTGTTATTCCACATGAAATCACTAGTTCCTGCCCATGTGGTAGTTGCACAATTGAAATTTTGTCAACACAATATCATTCACGTTAAAAAAAACATGTGTTGTATTTTTTTTTTTTATGAGAGGAAATTAATCTTAAGCATAATCGGACCACAACCTGTAGTTCAGCAGGCAGATAGCACACTCTTTTTCCGTCCTTAGAATTTGTCCACGGCTCTTCTAGAGTCAAGTGGCAGGCCACCGCTGTTATAACCTAATATAACATGGACAAAAAACACTTAATGATACTATCGATTTGTTATAAAATAATCCTACGAAGAAAGCATTGATAGTGGACAAACAAAACAAATTTTTGGAGTTCCGTTGATTACTTCAGCATCTACGAATGAGCGAGGGTTTAAGGACCACAATGACTTCCTGGTACAAGAGTTGTTTGAGGTTTTGACCAATACTTTGTCAGGTGGCAGATTGGCTAAAAATATATAGTGAGCAAGCTGGATTTGCTCATCATCGTATTCCATAGCAGTAGGTAGCTTAAAACTTCAAAACCACTTGGAATAGGGGCCACAAATAAACATGAGTCGAAATGCATTCGTTATGTCTGACGAAATAACGACAAAGAACACTTCAATGGCAAACATGACACCTTTATTACCTTGTCAACAAAACTTAGAGAAATACTTTTTCCATTTGGCTTCTTTGGTGTTACCTCAGAGTCAGATTCATCGTCCGAAATAAAAACGATGACTGAAGCAGGAGTGGGTGGAGTGCTTACACCTTTGGGTATCCTTGGTTTCTTTGATGGAGTCACAAATTTGGCGGTCTCCTTCAATGACAGTGAACCTACGATTAATAAATTAACTAGAATGAATTTCAATGGTTAAAGAGCTACTATACATACCACAAGCTTGGACGACAAGAGCGAGTGATCCTCCTATTTTCCATGTTGTGCCTCTAAACTTTAGTCTGTACTCAAAATTGCGGCAAAGAAGGATATGGAACCACTGCTCTACAGCTGAAGATTAATTATAGATACAAGGTTAGGATAAAATGTGGCGCCATATTTTTCCCGCGGAAAAATAGTTAGGGTTTAGTCTAAGGTACATGAACTTGGGATAAACATGGGTAGTTATTAAATCTAAAATTAAAAATATACTTTTTTCGATTGAATAAAAAGTTGAGTGCTATTGGTAAATATTCGCTCATATTAATATTTGATCTTTCCCCATACACGTAGTACACAGCTAGAGTGAGCTGGCGTTTGGCTTTACTAAGCAAGGTTTTTCTTTTTAAATATTTTCGTTATTTCTGAAAATGGTAAAGAAATCACTAAGATAAAGAATAGAAATTTCAACTCGTTCCTACCAAAAATATAAGATATCATAAATCGTGTTATTAATGGTGATAATTATTAAGTGGCCCATTCAAGCATTAATTCGGCCATCATTCCCAGTAGGGTTTTGTAATCTACATCCTTGGTTCCCCAAAATTTCCAGCAGTGACAATGACGTCGGAGGCAGACCTACCATTGACGTCGGAGGAAAGCCTACTATTGACGTCGGAGTCAATCCAAGAAAACGCTGGTGCCGGAGCCAGTCACACCACCCAGGAAGATAATGTCGCCGATCTCATATTTCTACAGCCTAAAGATATTAAAAAAATGAAGTTCGATGATACAGAAGAAGCCTATGATTTCTACATGGACTACGGGTTAGTCAAAGGCTTCGACATCAGAAAATCGGACATTGGTCGTGATAAGAACAAAGTTATGATATGGCGTGACTACGTATGCTCTAGCGAGGGAAAGAGGTGCATGGAGAGCACAGAACGAAGGAGAGAAGCAAGAGGGGAGACCAGATTTAACTGTAGAGCCAAGATGCGTGTTAAACAAGACAATGTCGATGGGAAGTGGTATGTGCACCAGTTTGATGATTTGCACACATATGAAACGATCCCCAGAGAATATAGACACTACATGAAAGGGAAACGTCGTATGAGTGATGCAGTCAAAGCAGCGATAAATTTTAGAAGAGCTGCAGGTATGAAAACTTCTCAAATTGTGAATATGGTCGTATCAGAAGCAGGAGGCTGCGATAATTTGGGGTACACGAAGAAGGATGCATATAATTATGTGGACAAAGAGAGGAAAGAAAAAATCAGTGAAGGTGATGCCGCAACAGCCCTAGCCTACCTGCAAGCTAAATGGAGCGCGGACAATCATTTCGTTATTGAACTAAAGAAGGATGACGACTACCGGCTTATTAACATCTTGTGGGCCGATAGTATTTCTGTTGCTGATTATGCATGCTTTGGAGAATTACTGTCATTCGATGCTACTTACAAAAGGAACATTTACCAGATGCCTCTCGTGATTTTTTCAGGTACTTTTCCTTCACACATAGAATTATCCCGAGCATGCTAAAATAACCCTAGCAGTTTGCATAATCTAAATTAATTAGGTGTCAACTACCATTCGCAAACTTGTGTATTTGCATGTGCTTTCTTGGCTAACGAGAGAGAGGAAAATTATATTTGGGTGTTGGGAGCTTTGAAGAGAAGGCTAGGCGGTGTAGATCCCAAGCCTGTTATTACAGATGGGGATAGAGCAATGCGTAATGCTATTCATAAAGTATTTTCCGATGCAATACATCGTCTATGTTCTTGGCATATAGACAAGACTATAACCAGAAATGTGAAGAATCATCCTACTTTTTTGCCCCGATGGAAGCATTTTGTGTCAGCTGACTGGGAACCTTCAGAATTCGAAGAAAAGTGGAAATCAGTGGTTAAGGAATGCTCCCTTCAGCACAAAAATTGGGTCTCCAATTTATTTGAGCAAAGACATGAATGGGGGTATGCATATTTGCGTTCGAAGTTCTTCGCAGGCTTGAGTACAACATCAAGATGTGAAGGACTGAACTCTCAACTTGCCAATTATATCGAGAAGGACAAAAATCTCCTTGAGTTCTTTATTCACTTTGATCGTTGGACTAGGGATATGAGGGAGAATGAGCGTCATGCTGATTTTGAATCCATTCATCGAGAACGAACCATCACAAGCAATGTCTTAGTCTCACTTCAGAAGAGTGGAGCGGCGGTTTTCACAAAGAACGCATTCTTCTTATTCAGAGACGAGGTTGAAAATTCGGCATGTTGCATAAGGGTGGAGTCAGAGCGATCGGAAATTGAGCGTGTGTACAAGGTCAAGGTGTCTAGCATGGATAAGGTTTTTCAAGTCACGTACACAGTTGAACCATTTGCAATGGAGTGTAGTTGTAATCACTACGATTATATGGGAATACCATGCCGTCATATGATTTTTGTACTGAAAGAAGAGAGCATACTGGAACTTCCTGAAGGCCTAGTACGTCAAAGATGGTCAAAGAAGCCGAAGACACTAGAGAGCTTGGAGGAACCGGACATAATAGATGAATCGCAACTTTTCGCATTGAGGTTTGCCATGACTATCACTTTTAATTTTTTTTAATATTGGTTCGAAGCTAGGTGAACGTTAATTTTACTCACATTGTATAAAATATTTTTTCAATCAGGTATGGTACTATTCAACAAAACAGCTTACAACTAATGTTAAAAGGGGCGTAATCTAGTGAATACTTCAAGATTGCTCGTGATGGAATTCAATCATTATGTGAAAAGCTGGACATGGTGGACACTGGCAACTTGGACATACCCGGCATTAATAGACCGAAGGCGAATGAAATTTTGTTGGATCCATTACACGTCAAAGCTAAAGGTTTGGGGGCTAAAAAATCTAAAAGGAAGAAAGGAGAACCACGACTGTGTAGCAATTGCGGTGAATGGCGCAACTATAGGACCCGATGCCCACATCATGTTGGGTATGTGAAGCCAACCTCAAACGGTTATGCCCCGAATGCTGGTGTTTCCGAAGAAGGTGGCGGTGGCGATGACACCGATGTTGATCCTCCCACCAATCAAGATCATTCGGAAACAGTACCGAAGAGAAGGCAAAAGCATTGCAGTAAGTGCGGTTCTACCAATCATAATTCAAGAACATGTACTGGGTCTGGGCCATCCGATGATGAAAATGACGATGATGACGATTACGAGCAACCTACGGTAAAAATAAAATGTAATTGTTCGTGTCTACACAATGCAGTTGCATCCAATATTTTTGTACGACTAAAATCGTCGTTATCGATTTTGCAGAAGAGGCCTGTTACCAGAAGTAGCAACCTAAGGACCAGAGGTTTGGACACTTGAGTTCTTCGGAATATGTGTGTAAAGGGGATGCAACTATTTGATCAGTGTTGAAAACTTGAAGTGAAGATGGAAGTCCTTATCCTATTCGGATTAGGACTATGTGAAGACTGCCAATGTCAGCTTGAAGCGGCGTCGTTTGATTTATAAGAACACTGTTTCCTTCTGCGGTGTCGTTTTACTTATGTGTCTCTTTGGTTTATAAGAAGACTGCTGGTTTATGCGGTGTCGTTTTATTTATGTGTCTCTTTGGTTTATAAGAAGACTACTGCCTTCTACGGTGTCGTTTTATTTAGTTCGGATGGATTTGATTTAATTCGATATGGAGGTTGCTCCCTAAATAAATCATGTGCAACATTTTAGTTGAATAAGTTTTCTCACTCGTTTTTTTTTATTGAATTATTATATCGTATTTTTTACTTGTTTACAAATTTATTTAATTTTGGCTACTAAAATTATGAAATGAAAATTTTCCTTTTTCCATTTCACTTTATTATTTTAGGCGTGAAATGACAAGAGCATGCGGCGACAGAGGAGCAGAGTTCGAAATCCGGAAAAATACTGTTGGCCCAATATTAAAAGACTTCTGAAAATGGAGGCAGTAATCAAGAAATAAACTATAGTATTTTTATTGATTAGAAGATCCCTCGCCGATCTAATAAGATCTCAAACACTAAAAGTACAAATCTTGAAAAACACAACAATGTACTTTCCCTCCTCCCACTTTTATACTATACATATGGCAACTTTCCCCTCTTGTATACATTTTCGGAGCATGATCAAAATGTACGCGTCAATATAGCACAAAAGAACCACCATATGACGTAGGGTTCCACAACACCTATGGAATCGTAACAACATATGATGATTCTTTCGGCAATATTCAGACCGCGACTTATTGTCATTGCTCCCCTCCCTGCCTCTAACAAAGACCCTGCATGGAGGGTAAAGAAGAAACAATAAACCGAAGGAGTTAGTTTAACAGTCATGATCTAACAATGACATAATGAAAGGAACTGAGATCTAAAATAATACGCAGTCTCATCATTACCACTGCACCCGAAAATAAAGCATGGGACAGGAGGACGAAGAGGCGGATGGGGTTGATTTTCAGAGTTTCATATTGAGAAGATGGGAGAAAGGGGTCTTTTCAGGGATTGAGAGGAAGAGGAACGAACAACAGCAAGAGATGAGTGCCTCTCGGGTTTTGGAGCATGGTCTCTCCTTCTCTAATTAAAGAATTTATAAATGGACTCATAAAATTACTATGCCTTTCCAGCCC